ACCAACGGCAAAGAAAGACCTTTCTCTCTCTGTCTCTCTCTCTCACTGTCCACTCTGCCTGTCAAAAATAAAAGAAAAAAAAATCTACCTCCTTGGAGGAAGGAGGATCCTCCTGGCTCCTGGCCCATGGCTCCTGGCTTCAGATTGGCACAGCTCTGGCCATTGCAGCTACTTGGGGAGTGAACCAGCAGACTGAAGATCTCTCTCTCTCTCTATATATATATAACTTTGCATTTCAAATAAATTAATTAAAAGCTTTTTTAAAAAGTGGGTTACAAAAGGAAATGTTCTTTTAATCCAATTTTTTGTGTTTAAAAAAGTCTGAAGGCATAAAATCTGTAATATTTTGGTAAAATATGTGGAATTTTGAATGATGTTGCTTTTCTTCCTCTGTATTTTCTAATTTTACTGTAATAAACTGGTATCTGAGAAATGAATATTTTCTTCTAAAAACCCACTGCCATTAGTAATTTGCTCTCTTAGCTTATGTCTAGCCATCAGAAAGAAGGTACAGTCACTCAAAAATCAGGTTTACCTCTCAGTCATAGTCAAAATGCAAGCTGGACCATGACTCTATTTTTATATTTTCTTCACTTACAAATCCTTGGGAACTTGTACCTTTAACAAACTACTACTGGATAAAGAGCCCTTACAGCCAGAGTACCTCAAAAATAACCTTTAAAAGTGCATGGTCTGGGGCCGGCGTCACGGCTCACTAGGCTAATCCTCTGCCTTGCGGCGCCGGCACACCGGGTTCTAGTCCCGGTCGGGGCGCCAGATTTTGTCCCGGTTGCCCCTCTTCCAGGCCAGCTCTCTGCTGTGGCCAGGGAGTGCAGTGGAGGATGGCCCAAGTGCTTGGGCCCTGCACCCCATGGGAGACCAGGAGAAGTACCTGGCTCCTGCCTTCGGATTGGTGCGGTGCGCCAGCCGCGGCGGCCATTGGAGGGTGAGCCAACGGCAAAGGAAGACCTTTCTCTCTGTCTCTCTCTCTCACTGTCCACTCTGCCTGTCAAAAAAAAAAAAAAAAAAAAAGTGCATGGTCTGGAGCTGGCGCTGTGGCGCAGCAGGTTAAGCAACTACCTGCATTGCTGCCACCCTTTATGGGCAGAAGTTCAAGTCCCAGCTGCTCCACTTTCAACCCTGCTCCCTGCTAATCTGCCTGGGAAGGCAGTGGAAGATGGCCCAAATGCTTGGGTCCCTGCACCCATGTGGGAGACCCAAAGAAGCTCCTGGCTTTGGCCTGGGCTAGCCCTGGCTTTTTCAGCCATTTGGGCTGTCTCTCCTTCTCTAACTGCCTTTCAAATAAATAAATACATCTTTTTTTAAAAAAAAGTTCATGGTCTATTCAACGATGTAGAAGTTCCAGACAAGCAATCAGGCAAGAAAAGGAAATTACAGGCATCCTAATGCAAAAGGAAGAAATAAAACCATCTCTACTACAAATGAAATGGCCTTCTATACACAAAATCCTTAAGAATCCATCAAAAAAAACTATTGAAACTAATTACTGAATTCAGTAAAGTTGCAGGATATAAAGTAAAAAAAAAAAAAAAAAAAACAAGTTGTATTTCTCTATATTAGCAATGAATTATCCAAAAAGGAAATTAAGAAAACATTCCATTTATAGCGTCAAGAAGAATAAGATTAGGGGCACCTAATGGGGTACATGCAGCAGGCTAAGCCACCGCTGTGGACAGTCACATCCCTAAGTACCTGGGACTGAGTGCCAGCTGCTCCAACGTAAGTCCAGCTTCCTACTTATGAACACCTTGGGAGGCAGCAGATGATGATCAAGAACTTGGGTTACTGCCACCCGTGTGGGAACAGCATTGAGTTAAAGGCTCCTGGCTTCGGTCTGGCTCAGCCCCAGCTGTTGTGGGCATTTGAGGAATAAACTAGTAGATGGAAGATCTCTATCAATCTCTCTCTTTCTCTCTCAGAAGCTCTTTCAAATTAAAAATAAACAAACTTACAAAAAAATAGAGAATAAATTCAATCACTCATTCACTGGAAACTATAAAACACTACTGAAACAAATCGAAAGAGTAACTAAATAAATGGAAACGCTCCCCATGCTCATGAATCAGAAAGTTTTTGGTTTTGCTACTTTGCAAAGACAACAATACAAAGTGACCTAGAAATTCAAGGCAATGCCTATCAAAGTCCCAAAAACCTTTTTGCAAAAACAGAAAAGTTGATCCTAAAGGCATATGGAAATGCAAGGACCCCAAAGAGCCAAAACAATCTTAAAAAAGAACAAAGCTGGAGAATCAACACTTTTTCATTTCAAAATTTATAACAAACTACAGTAAACAATACAGTACTGGCATACAGACAGACACATACATCAATAGAACATAACAGAATACTCCAGAAATAAGCCCATACATTTATGGACAACTGCTATTTTGTTTGAAAGGCACAGAAACAGACAGAAAAAAAAAAAAAAAAGATGTACCAAGAGAAAAATCTTCCATCTACTGGTTCACTCCCCAAATGCCCACAAAAACAGGAGTTGGGCTAGGCCAAAGCCAGGAGTCCTGAACTAAATCCAGGACTCTGACATTGATGGCAAGAATCCAAATACTTGATTCATCACTTTCTGCCTTCCAGGTGAGCATATGTAGGAAGCTAGAACCAAAATAGGAGCCGATACTCAAATCCAGGTTCCAATATAGTACGTGTACACCCCAAGTAATGTCTCAACTATTGCATCAAACACCTACCCCTTGATTAACTAATTTCTGACTAGGGTGTCAAGAATATTCAGTGGAAAAAGGATAGTCTCTTCATCAACTGGTCCTGGGAAGAGATATCCACATGCAAAAGACTGAAACTGGACCTGTACCTCACACCATATACAAAAATTAACAAAAAATAGATCAGTGGAGCCAGGCATTTGGTGGAGCAGCCGAGACATCTACAGTTCATGTTGTGAGTGCCTGGATCAAGTTCCAGCTCCTCCACTTCCAATCCAGCTTCTTGCTAATGCAAGATGGCAGCAAAGGTACTGGGTCCTTGAGGCCCGTGTGGGAGATCCAAATTGTGTTCCAGGCTCCTGGCTTTGACCTGACCTAGCCCTGGCTGTTGTGAGCATTTCCAGAATGAACCAGCAAACAGATGATCTGTCTCTTTCTCTCTGCCTTTGAAATAAAATGAAAATTAAAAAAAAAAAAAGATCAATGATCTAAATATAAAAGAAAACATATACTTTTATGACCTTGGATTTGGCAATAGCTTCTTGGATATGAAGCTGAATGCATAGACAACAAAACTCTATAAGTTCTATGTGTCAGTTAAAAACAAGATAGACTTCAAAAACATTAAAATTTTCTGCACATCAAAGGAGACTATCAGGAAAGTAAAAGGACAATCCACAGAATGGGAGAAAATGCTTACAAATCATATCTGATAAGAGTCTATTATGCAGAGTATGTAAACAACTCCTAAAACTCAATGTCAAAAGGGCCTATTTTTTGTACAAGGAAAAATAAAGAATTTGAATAGACATTTCTCCAAAGATAAACAAATGACCAACAAGCACAAAAGAAGGGTAATATCATTAGTCATTAGGGAAATGAAAATCAAAACCACAATGAGATACTACTTTCTACCCACTAGACTGGCCATTATCAAAACAAAAAAGGAAGGGGCCAGCACTGTGGCATAGTAGGTTAAGCCTCCGCCTGCAGCACCAATATCCCATACGGGTGCCGGTACTAGTTCCAGCTGCTCTTCTTCCCATACAGCTCTCTGCTATGGCCTGGGAAAGCAGTAAACGATGGCTCAAGTGCTTGGGCCCCTGCACCCGAGTGGAAGACCCAGAAGAAGCTCCTGGCTCCTGGCTTCGGATTGGCCTAGCTCCAGTCAATTTGGTCATTTGAGGAGTGAACTAGCAGATGGAAGACCTTTCTCTCTGTCTCTGTCTGTAACTCTGTCAAATAAATAAATAAAATCTTAAAAAAAAAAAAGGAAAATAGAAAATGTTGGCAAGCATGTGGAGAAGTTAGAATCTCATACATTGCTGGTGAGACTATAAAATGGTGCAGCTTCAAAACAGGTCAGCAGTTTACCAAAAAGTTAAATATAGAATTACTATATGACCCAGAAATTCCACTCCTAGGTAAACACAAAAAAATAATACTGGAACTCAGTGTTCAAACAAATATACATGAATGTTCACAGTAGCACTATATATGATAACCAAAAGGTAGAATACCTCTTGCTATGATTTGAATGTGTCCCAATCCTCAATGCAAATGCCAATTTGTTTGATGTAAGACTTAGAAGGGAATTAGGATCAGATGAGGTCATGAGGATGGGACCCCAGGACGGCCTCTGTGGCTTTAAAGAGGAGGAGGGAGGCTTGCTGTCAGCCTGCAATGCCCTCCATCACGTCTGATGCAGCAAGAAGGCCTTCACCAAATATGCCAAGCGGTTGCTGGCACCAAGCTCTTGAACTTCCCATCCTCCAGAACCATGAGCCAAATAAATATCTCAGATATTTTGTTATGGAAACAGAAAATGGACTAGGACATCAGAACCAAAATACCAGTCTCAGGTATGTTGCTATAGCAATAAAAACAGACTAAGACAAGTCCTAATGTCCAAGAGCTGAGTAATGGAAAATATGGTCTACCCATACAAATATTAAGCAGTCATAAAAAGGAATGAAGTACAGATACATTCATCTCTCCTTTTGGAGAGATGAAAATGACTTGGAACCAGACAGAGGTGATGGAGGCACAGTGTTGCAAACATACAACATGCTATATAAAAATTGTTCATGGTTCATTTTATGTGACATGAGTTATACTTCAATAAAAAATACAAAAAGTATAGTCTAACAACTTAAAATATTTTAAACAAATTTATTTTCTGTTCAGAAACCACCACAGGTTTTTAAACAGATTAACAGCTGTTGCACTGTAACATTTTTTATAAAGCAACTCTCCAAATTACTTCTACAAGTAATCTTAACAGAATGCCCTATTTCTTACCAGAAGCCTCTTTTCCATTCTGCTTTTCATAGAGGGTGCCCACAGACATGAGGAAAACAATCATCAGGAAAACTGGAATTCTCCATGAGCCAGCCAGGGATGCTGCAAACGAGGAAGAACAGTTTCAGTGAAACAAAAGCCTTCTAATTTTGTTTTTAAAAAAGACTCCACTTTGTAAACTGACACAAGGATTTGGTATGCTTGCTCATAAAGCCCATCAAAAAGATAACTTCAGCTCAGGGTTTCCAGAGGAAAATCTGCCCCTGCTCCCAGAGGTCCCTGTGTAAAAGGCCAGGAATGTGCCAGCCTATCTTTAATGAGCTTGTACTGCCTGAGGAATTGAAAATACAGAGTTTAAGAGACCATCCTAACTTCAAACCACCCATCTGACCCCAAGAAAGACCAGAATCAGGAGGGATCCTTGGTTCTCTGAAAATACCACAGGACGTGAATCCTCATGGTAGAAGAGAATGGCCCAAAAGCACCCAGCACCCCAGTACACCCCACTCCACCTTAGCATATTAACAGGCCACCTCAACCATCAGCATTTCTCAGAGAGGCTCCAGGGCCACATAAGGTACCTGCCAGCCTCCCTCCTCTGCCTCCACCAAATCCAGAGGGAGGCTCAGCAGACAGCAGGGAGTCTTGTACATAAACCCCTCTGGCACTCCAACTCAACACAGTCAGAGAGCAACGTTTTTGTCCCACATCAGGTTCTGAGCAGACATTTCCCAGCTGACTGCTGTTCATCTGATTGTTAACAAAATAAGGAGCTCTAACATAGGTACCCTATGGCTCTGGGCACCTGAATTTTGTTTTTAAATTAGAACTTGACATTTCCAACGACTAGAGATAACATTCCCAACCCTATGTATCACGCTGAAAAACCACTCAACAGCATCCTAGCAGCCACCCAGCTAATCGTGAATGGTTTTCCCTAACAGTGCACTTATGACTCCAAGCAGGGATTTGTCTTCCTGAAAAGTGCGCACCGCTGTGACAACTCCCATTCATGGTTACAGATCCGTCCAAACCACTCTTTTCACAGGGCACTCCTTCCTGTATTAGAAGCAGACCTTCATATGTTACATCCTACTTACCCTGCCCCCTCCCAGTCCCTCCCGCCCCAGCCCCCTCCTCTTATCCCGAGAAAACATCTTTACTAGTTCCTGTAATTTTCTCACATGTGATTCTGAGCCCCTCTTATCCTCCTTGACTGGTTATCTATGTCCTCCTGCGGGCTGACACTCAGATATGACCATGACCGTCAAGTATGCTCTTTTTAAGATATAGTTATTCTTAAAAGGCCTTTCTGAAAATAAATATGTAATATATTGAAGAGACATTTTAAAACATCTCATTTTCATTAATATTAATGAAAAGTTACAGCACATTTCCTCCAAATTATTTTCAATAATTTTAAAATACAACATAAAATGCTAGAAAGAGTTCGCTTTCACACAGTCAGCCTCTGCTGACATTAAATTAGATTTAAAAAAAAAAAAAAAAAAAGGACCCACCTAAATGAAAAAGCAATAGAATCCAGACAGGAATTGAAACTGCTCTCAAGTAGCGTTCAGTGCTTGCATTCCACTTGAATGAAACAGTCAACACATAGCCAACTACTAACGTCCAGATCTTAAATAAATGAAATATAAAAGACACAGTTTTAAAATATATCCACGTCGAAGTGAGCACACAATTACACAAAATTTGCCAGCATCTGTACAGCAGGAGCACTCTAGAGGCAGCACAGAGAAGATGAATGTTGGTGGTGCTGAAAGAATGGAGCCAGGTTCTCCTCCTTAATTAAGTTTTGATGCAACTGGGTGTCTGAAATTTCACATAGTGACATTTAAATGTTTAACCAAAAACATAGAGTTTTAACATATGCTAAAGTTCAAAACTCATCTTATGCACAAGAATACTTGAGATAAAATACTCAAAGTATAAGTCACAGACTTAAGAACTTAATCTTATGAAATCCCTAACATTTTCTCTATTTAATGCTGAAAAGAGAAAACAAATTCCCACAAAGAATCAAGTGAGAAGATTCTATTCCAGCCTATGGAAGATGCTTGTTACTGTAAAACGATGTTTTTAAAGCTAGAAAGGCACTGGCTGAAGTGTGACCATGCTGAAATAATCCAGGTAACAGATGGTGAGAGCCTCATCCACAGCTAAATGTACCAGTTGAAGAAACATGTCCCAGAAGAAAAAAAAAAGTTAGTAGAGAATAGCAAGACAAAAAAAAAAAAAGCCAACGCCGTGGCTCACTAGGCTAATCCTCCGCCCGCAGCGCCAGCACCCCGGGTTATAGTCCTGGTTGGGGCGCCGGATTCTGTCCCGGTTGCTCCTCTTCCAGTCCAGCTCTCTGCTGTGGCCCGGGAGTGCAGTGGAGGATGGCCCAAGTCCTTGGTCCCTGCACCCGCATGGGAGACCAGGAGGAAGCACCTGGCTCCTGCCTTCGGACTGGTGCAATGCACCTGCGTAGCAGCCATTTGGGCAGTGAACCAACAGAAGGAAGACCTATCTCTCTGTCTCTCTCACTGTCTAACTCTGCCTGTCAAAGAAAAAATAAAAAAGACTGATTTATCTGAAAGACAGTTACAGAGAAGGAAATCTTCCATCCACACAGAGATCTTCTATCTGCTGATTCACTCCCCAAATGGCAGCAAGGACTGGGGGAGGCCAGGTGGAAGCCAGGATTCTAGAACTCCATTAGGTCTCCCATGTGGGTGGCAGGGACTCAAACTTTTTGCTGCTTTCCAGGTGCATTAGCAAGGAGCCAACTGGAAGTGGAGCAGCTGGGACTCAAATGACACTCATAAGGGATGGCAGAGTTTCAGGTACTAGCTCCACAGCAGGACTTGAGAACAGATGTGACCAGGGACCCCTGGCCAGTTTCCCCACACTAAAGCTAAATGACTGGAGCACACAGGCAGTATCCAAAGAAGCTGGTGCCAGCTATACTGAAATTCAAACTAGCTCCAATGTCATTCTGATCATCTCTATCAATAGAGATAATATTTGGGTCTTAATCATCCTGATTGTATCTATCAATGAAAATAATATCTGGGTCTCAGAAACATTTACAGTTTCTGCCTAAGAATTCAGTGACCCCTACTAAATATTAATAGAGTCTGAAACTTTCATAAAGAAGCTCATCAGAGTGCAATTTACAAAAGTGAAAAGGTCAACAACGGGGAAATTACGGATGATTCATGCAGTAAAATGTTCTACAACCATTAAAATCTTTCTTAAAAAAACAAAACTATACGGTTTAAAAATCTCTAATATTGGGCCAATGTTGTGGCACTGCTGCTTAAGCTGCTGCTTAAGCCACTGACGTCACATAGAGGACCACTGGTTCATGTCCCAGCTGCTCCACTTACAAGCCAGCTCCCTACCCACGGCCTGGGAAAAGCAGTGGAAAATGGCCCAAGTGTTTGGGCCCCTGCACCCACGTGGGAGACCAGGATAAAGCCCCTGTCTTCAGCCTGGCCCAGCCCTGGCTGTTGTAGCCATTTGGGGAGTGAACCAGTAGATGGAAGAGCTCTTTCTCTGTCTCCCCTCTCTCTAACTCTGACTTTCAAATAAATTAAAAAAAAAAAAAAAAACTTTTTAAAGGCTAAATTGAGCTTTTAGATTAAAAACGCAACTCAGGGCCGGCCCTGTGGCGCAGGCTTTAGCCTTGGCCTGAACCACCAGCATCCCATATGGGCATCAGTTCTAGTCCCAGCTTCTCCTCTTCCAATCCAGCTCCCTGCTATGGCCTAGGAAAGCAGAAGATGGCCCAAGTTCTTGGGCCCCTGCACCCACATGGGAGATCCGGAAGAAGCTCCTGGCTCCTGACTTCAGATTGACTCAGCTCTGGCTGTTGCAGCCATTTGGGGAGTGAATCAGCAGATGGAAGACCTCTCTCTCTGTCTCTACCTCTCTCTGTAACTTTCAAATAAATAAAAAAACTCAACTCCACACACACAGGATGGGAAGAGAACATTGAAGCAGCGTTGCCTCTAAGGGCCGGAGTACGACTGCTGTGAGTGCCTATTCATAAAGTACAACATTCGCACCCGGGAGAGTGAGGGTGTCAGTGAATTCTGCACTACCAAGTCACATGAGCAGTAAAATTCAGCCGGGGAAAGCAAAAGGAAATGACATGTATGAGACACAGCCCGGGGTAACAACTGTTTAGCTTAGAAAAAAGGGGGTGATGGCATGATTTGACAGCTATCTTCAAACATTAAAAAATGTCATCTGGGAGAAGTGTGACACTACATTTTCTGTGGTTCTGAGGCAGAAATAATAGGTGGGAATTAGGAAGTACCACATTTCAACTCAGAATCAGGATGTTTTTCTAACAAATGATAAAAAATAGAATAAGCTGCCACCACTAACGCTTCTGAGCCAACAGCAACTCTTAAGTCAGAGATGACATGCAGGAAAGTCGTCGATCAAGAGCATCACAAAGGGTTCACACTTTCACACTGAGAAGTTTTTGTTTCCCATCTGAACCTGTAAGGAATTACTATCAGTTTCAAGGAAGAACAAAAAAAAAGAGAAAGAGGGAGACTCTTTTTTTTTTTTTTTTAAGAAATTCATGATCTTAAGAGAAAGAAGTATGTATTTTCATCTAGTAAGCCTATTTCATTTTGGTTTAAGAGAAGTATTGGGGTAGGCATTTGGCCTAGCAGTTAACCCCACATCAGAATATTTGGGTTCAATGCTGGGCTCTGGCTCCTGACTCCAGCTTTCTTCCAATGCAGACTGTAGAAGGCAGCAGTGATGGCTTGGCTCAACTAACTGGGCTCCTGTCACCCACATGGGAAACCTCAACTGAGTTCCCAGCCTAGTCCCAGTCACTGCAGGCACCTAGGGAGTGAGCCAGAAGATAAATAATTTTTAAATTAAAGATAAACATAACTACTTATTAAATATATTCCCCAATTCTACTTTCAGGATATTTTACAGATATATAAATGTTCACTGTTATAGTTTACTCTACAAAAAAAAAAAAAAAAAAAAAAAAAAACCTGACAACTGTCATTTTATAGGGAATTGTTTAAATATATCCAAAATAGTTCAGACTTTTTTAAAAGGTGTGATGAATATCTATATTCAATGTCATAGTGTAAATTTATGCATATGTAAGCTTACAATGGTGAAAATATATTCAACAAAAAATGTTTAAAAAACATTTCTGGATGGTTGGATTTCAAAGGGTAAATTCCTTCTTTATGCTTTTTCACAAGTACTGATTTTTCTCCTAAGAGTAGATAATAGCCTTATAAACAGGTAAGAAGTATTTTTAACTTCAAAAGATTATTTTGGCTTATATAGAGATTCTCTTCAATATTTTCAAGTGTTTCCTCAAAGTATTTACAGAAGTATTATTAATTCAGAAGTTATGGCCAAAACCAAATAAATTTCTTTAAAAAAATAAAAAAGAAAGGAAAAAAGTATGGTCATTTATAAAAACACTTTAGAGTTGACATTACCTAAACTATTATGATGATACAATTACCAATGGCTAAAAACCGTTATCAGAGTAGTCTAACACAAATTCAGAGCAAAGAAAATCTGTTAGGAACATTTTCTAAATGGCATCCAGGGAGAAAAGTATTTAAACTCTAGCCATATTAAAAAGGAAGAAGTAATCAAAATATCCACAATATGACTGTAAGTCAAAGAGCAACATGCACAATTATAGTATGTTATTCTATTTTTGTTTTAAAGAGACAAAAAGTGTACTTCACAAAGACACAAAGAAACACTTAGAAGGTGACGCATCAGTTACTAATAGTAACACCTCTAAAGCAGGCATAATGTCAGGAAAAGGGAACATTCCCTTTCACCATACAAACTTCCAAGCTGCTAAAACTACTTTTTTACATAACAAACGTGCTTTACTTGAGTCAACTTTGAGTTTTTTATTCTTAAACCTTCACTAACACCTCTAAGCAAACCTGTTCATGTGTGAATTCTCTTCCAGGCATAAACCAAAGTGCCAAGGTTATAGGTAAAAGGGCATTTTCCTCAAACTTACCATCTCCAATACAATGTGTCCTTTTCAAAATCTGCATTCCATCGTCATTTTAAAGTACCAATGTGCTAGATAAGACTGCAGAAAGCTTGGCACCATGATTTAGCACAAGTACAGCAAACTAACAGATGAATCACATTTTCCTTTCATTTGATAGGAATATAGTACACTTTTCTGGTCAAACAACAAATTAAATACATAAAACTGAAGTACACACTCTGCCTTGTAGACTGTGTCTCTGTGTTATTAGTTATCACTGGGCATCACCTGGAAAAACAAGTCTGTTCCAGAAAGAGTAAATGAATACTTCCTCCCAAGTTATAGGACCACAGCCCTAATCACAGCTCCAACCAGCAACTGCTTCAGGTACTTCATTCCCCTTTAAAACAGCTTCACTCCAATCTGGAAACTGTTCTCTTTGTCATATGCCAAGAATTTTTATAATCAAGGTGCTTAACTGCGAAAGAACTAAGCTCTGGAAACCTTCGTCTTCACTGTAGCCAGGCAAGCAGAAACAAATCTAGAAAGGGCTTAGACGTGGAATCAAGTAGATCTGAAAGACGACTAATGTGTACTTCTTAAAGAGCCTCTT